CAAGCTGCATTATTTCTGGCAGTCTATAAAGGCTCTAAATGTACAAGGATTTGCATTGAGAAATTGTGGTGACAGTGCCAAATGTATTTGCAAATGTAGAGGCAATGCATGGTCAATGATGCCTGCCAGATGGCAATCCAGCCTCTGTTTAGAAACCTCCAAAGGCGGAGACTCCACCATTCTCCATTGCAGCATATTCCACCGACAAGGAGCTCTTACCATCAGGAGGTTCTTGCTAATGTTTAGGCAGAATCTATAGACTCTACAGATTCCACCTAAACATTAGGAAGAACTTCCTGACGAACTTCTTAATGGTAAACAGAGGCTGGATGGCCATCTGTCAAGAGTACTTTGATTGTGTGTTCCTGCATGGCAGAATGGGGTTGGACTGCATGGCTCTTGTGGCCTCTTCCAACTCTATGATTTGATGAGGCAAGCAAACAAAACAGGTGAGCCTCTGCAGTTGTTTGCATGCATGAGATCTAGTGGTATGCTCCATCCAACAATATTGTTACTTATAACTACATCATTCATTCAGCTATTCAGTGGCAAGCACATTTTCCACACGGAGAGTCAGAAATGCATGCATTTATATAGCCATGCATTAATAGACCACACTTCTAAAACAGTGTTCAGAAGTCAGTGCTTCATAAGCAAGAGCACCAGTTTGGAAACAGGATATTGTACCAATCAGTTGGTAAGGCACTGCATTAATAAATATAATTTCCATATAGGAGTCTTTAGCCCTTTAGATGTTTTGGGCTCCAGCTGCCATAATCCTTTATCATTAGCTGCTGGCATGGGCTTTTGAAAGTTAAGGTCCCAAACATCTGAAGAGCCAGAAGTTCCTTACTTCTGTTATACACCAACAACCTGATTGCCCTGAACATCTGTTGAAGAGGATCCAGTTTAGCCTACTCCATCCATCCATCTATCCATCCACACCACAATCCCACTGCCACATACAAATTACCCAGTGGAACCAAAATAATTGTGCACTATACCTGTTAAACAGCCATGACTTTGTGCCAGTGAGGTTTGAAGTCCAGCCTTGACACATGTGATATTATGAACATGCTACCCAGTCAACCCTGAATCTGCTCCCAGCCATGCTTGTTTTGTCCATTGCCATCAGTTTCTTGGTTCCTTCGTGTGACTTCAGACAGCAGCATCAATAACCCAGAGATTTCAGGGCCCTCCCTGTTTTGTGTACCAGCAACAAATACCAGGTGCTGTAGTAGGCTATGTTTCAGAGGACGAAACTGGCAAAACCACCTAAGTCTTCTTCGCCTGAGAAAACTCTATGAAATTCAAGTGGTTGCCATAAGGTGACTTGAAGGTGCACACACACAACCGTTCTATAAGGCTCAGATGCAAGGCATTTAAAGCCAAAGTAGTCCCCCAACCGTGTGTGAAGCTTTAATAACCACTACCTTCTTGTCCTTCTCCCACCCTGCTAGGAATGTGCTGCATCAACAAAGGAGTGGGAGTGAGTGGAAGGGGGTTTGATGTAGGAGAGACTGCATAAGAACAGGACAGAATCAGACACTACGGTTATCAGTGCCATTTCCATGCACCCTCCCAAGATTAACCCAGTACATAAGTATTTGCTGTCCTTTTATGACATCCCAAATCTGCTGCCTAAGGCTGTTCCATCATGGTACCAAATAACAGCACTGGCTCTGCTTGTACCGTATCACTTGTAGCAACCCTTCAGCATTTACTCCCTTCTCATAGACAAAATTTAAACACAGCCATCTAACACTTGTTTCCAGTCCTCCTCTATGCCTAGGAAAGCCCCAACTCAAATGCCTCTCCTTGACTGAAATAAACCACCAGTTGTTTGGAAAGCCCCGCTGGATACACCTACCTTCTTGTCGTTCTGGTTCACCTTCACTCGGTCTGGTTCTACGGTGGAGCACCCCATTCCTGGATACTGCCTTGTCCTAATGGTCTTCCCCTTTTCCTAGGAAATGCTGTCACCACCCATGGCTCCAGCTGGGTGCCGGACGGGATTTCCGCCTTTTTAAAAGCCACAGGCAGAACAAACAGGGATTTGGTGTCTGAGCGGTGATGCTGGCTCAGCACATTCCTGGCCCTGAGGACACTAGTGAGGAAAGAGGAGTGACTGGTTTGTGTACAAAGTAGGACTTGGAACTGGATTCAGGGAGAGATGAGAGAAGTACCAGCTACTTTTGTCTGACACAATGCTCGGAAGGTACCTAGAAATATTGCTAGCCACTTAGGCCAGAAAAGCTTTGCAGCCTAATAGTTCCAGCCATTACAATTCAGACTATTGCTCACTCTACAGTACCCTCCAATTGAACTGACATGCCCTTTAATAAGTATAAAATCCTATAACCAGTTTTATCTGAGTGTATAGCACTGCCTCTTCCTATGAAGCACTCAATAGGGATACATCTGACATTTTGTTTGCAAAGATGGAACTGTTCTAGTTTTCACTTAGTACTATTTTTTAATGTACATAGCTATAGATGTATTCCTTAATGATGTTAAAATATACAATAGTATATAAATAGTGGCACCTGAAATAGCCAAAGGGAATACAGGTTGTACCAAAGGTAGTTGCATAGATCTGTGGTTTTCAGAGTCTTGTCTTCAGAAGACATATTCTATCAGCTGAGAAAGCCATGACTGATACAAAGGATTCTGATGGAATTCTAGTGTTGGAGCACACAACTGGCAAGGACCAGTGACCAGGCCTCATAACTGCACAAAGTATGTGCACTGAAACACAAATATTGTAGCTGTATGTAATATACATAATGTATGACTATCTGAACCTTCCAGTGGGAAACTCTTGATAAAAGAACAAGGGCTCCAAGTAATTTGATGGCAAAATGCTTTGGAGTAGCAACACGAGGAGAAAAAGGGGTTAGAGACCTTTGGGGGAGCATACAGTTGTCCTTTTCCTTTCTGAAAGGAAAAAGTGGGTTAAGATTTTGTTGATTTAATTCAAACTCACCTCACAGATACACACCTTCAACAGTTCATTTTTTCAGGGAACCTTCCCCCTCCCAATATTGTTTAGTAAAATACATTCCCCAAAAAAACAACACAATAAAATGTGAAAATTGGTTTTTATTAAGTACAGAATCTGAACAAAACAAGTAGTTAATTGACCCCACACAGAAGGAAGGGCCTCAGGAAGGTTCCCTGTAAGGACTTGAAATAATTAAAAACACTCAAGTGAGGCAGAGCCTGAAGATTCAGCCCCCCAAGCAGAAAAAGTGTGTGGACGGCACATCAGAGATAGGAAATATGGCTTTACAAAAATACAAGTTCTAATTGTAGGAATGGGCAAAAGAGGTGGGATTTATGGCAAGAAAGACTCCTGTGAGGGCAAGATTACACTTCTGCCTCTGGCTCACTAAGGGACACCCAGATGCTAAGTCTCAAACCGGGATCTCTTTCATGTTACACAATTACACCACTTTGGTACTACTTAAACTGCTATGTCTCTGTCTCATAGAATTCTGGGATCTGCAGTTTCATAAAGTGTTTAGAATTCTTTGCCAGAGAGATCTAGTACGTCACTCAAAGTACAAATTCCAGGATTCCATTGGTTGTTTCTGTGGCAGTTAAAGTGGAATCATACTGTTATAATTGTGCAGTTTGAAAGAGACTGTGCTTATATTTCTATCTGAAATACAACAACCATGTATTTATGGACAAATGCTCTCCACCACCACCAGGTCACAAAAAGACTACATCCCTCTACAATCCTCCTAGTACTTGTGGGTAGGCAGGACTGAAGCAAAGTACTCAGACCAAGGAAGAAGAGAAGGAAGATACCTGCCACCATACAAAGATAAACATGAAGTCAGGTGTTCTGGACAATCAAAAAACTATTCCATCAGATTGATCCTAAAAACAATATTTATCTTCTGAGAAGATCAAGATTTGGCAGCTGATGGCTCTGCCTACTGATGAAGAAAGAGCAGGTGATGGTAACTGACTATAGGATTATGGGGCCTGGAGACCAACCAATCCAACTGGAGGGCATCTGGTAGGGAAGGCTACCATAACAAGTAAAACACACACCCAAGAGACTGTGAAGGAAAAGAGTATTTGGTGAAAGCTGCATTAGGATGGTGATTTCTCATTCTCTCACAAATACTTTTACTCATGTACACACAGCTGGCAGAGAGGTATGTAAACACACAGGTCCCCTGCATTGAGCGTTGACAGGTGCCTCTTTTGGTTGGAGCTGTAAAGCAGAAGTCCTTGGAACACTGTATCTTAGGTTGTGTTTCTAGAATTTTAATTAAAAAAAAAGTTCAAAATATTCCAGAAAATCTGTCCCATCTCCCTTCTCATTCAAGGATAGCCAGAGTCACCCCATTTTGAACCTGCACCTTGAGCACTAAATAAACTTACTTAGCTCCAGGTTACCACAAGCCTCAGGGCTCTTTTGCAACCAAGATGGAGAAGAAGACCTATAGCCTGTTTTGATGGGAAAGAAAGACCAAAAGAATCAGTCCCAGAAGTGAAGGGAAGTTTGGCTCGCTTTGTAACTGGCCTGCACAGTCTTGCTCACATTGGGACTGATTGGTCCAAAGAGTGAAACAGAAAGGACAGCTGTGCCAGACTTCAGGCCTATGACAGGGGTTCATCTCTCCTACAGTCAGGGTTTCTGACCACCAGGAAGGACCAGGGCCTGCAAGATATCCGAGAGGGACACGATACCCTTCACCACATCATTCTCATCCACCACGACCAGCCGATGAACCTGTTAGTTAGAGAAAATGTTGGTGAGGGCTTGTTTTAACATAACCAAAATTTGATGGAGACCATCCCAAATTAATCCCTGATGTGTGTGTGTGCCGTGTGCCTTCAAGTTGTTTCTGCCTTATGGCAATCCTAAGGCGACCCTATCATGGGGTTTTCTTGGCAAGATATGTTCGGAGGAGATTCACCATTGCCTTCCTCTAAGGCTGAGAGAGTGTGACTTGCCCAAGGTCACCCAGTGGGTTTCATAGCCAGGCTGGGAATTGAACCCTGGTCTCCAAAGTTGTAGTACAATGCACAAACCACTACGCCACCCATACTACTACATAATACTGAAAGGAAACAATAGACTGAAACAACAGTTCTCGTCACTGGATGGGTGAGATGAGGTTTGTTCATGTTATTTAATAGTTAGAAGAGGGGTAGACATCATGCATCTCTCCCAATACTTTTGAACTACAACTTCTAGCATTCCTCCCCCTTTGCTATGTTGGCTAGGGCTGCGGGATGTTTCAGTCCAACAACATCTGGAGGGCTGCACATTTCCCATTCTCACCGAGAGAAAGGAAACAAAGTATAGATAGGATAGTTAGAAAACAATGTGCATTTCTTTTAATAAAAAATGCCATGTTATGATAGAACTTTCAAGACACAATCTGTTAGTACCAACAGACACAGATATGCTGCTGACTGCCACTGAAAAATTCCCACTCCTGAATCCAAGACTTGTCAAAGTGATTGCAAGGGAAATCACATATTCTTCTGTTCCACTCATGGGTGGAGCCTGTCTTGTTCACTATTTTGTATTATTATTTTGTATGCTATTTTGTATCATCATCATCATCATCATCTTGCCTCTTCCAATGGATCAAGGAAGAGAACAGCAGTAGATTAAAATACAACACAGCTATCAGACTCGCACAGCACACTTTGGCTGCTGTAGGGACATCTTAATTTTAACACACGCAAGACAAAACAAGGACAATAATAATACAGTGTATCGGGATTCTAGCATCCATTGATTTTATTACTGTTGTCTCTGTTTGTATGGTGTCAATTTTACCACCTTCATAACAGGGACTAAGAAAGCTGTTCAATTTGCTGTTTCTTTTGCACAACTTCCCGGTGGGCAAAAATCAGCCTGGACGGTTGTATATATCAGTCCTCTTTCCCTATTGAAATTCAGTGTCTAAGAAGGTTTCAAAGGACAACACATTACCTCTGCCTCCACCAGCCGGTTGATTATTGTCTCCAGAGTCTCATGCTTGTAACACTTGAGCACACCTTCAAAATAGTGTGAGCGATGCTGCAGTGCTTTGGTTACTGTCACATCCAGGTTGTTGTACGTTTTTTCTGCTGCCAGGTTCTGACCACAGGAAGATAAGAAGATGAGAGAACCTGGTGAGACAGGAGGTGAGAGGACTTGGCCCACACTGACCCCAACACCTTTCTCTCTGCATGTTGTACATGCCCTGGGATATAAGGGGGAAATATTTCTGCCCGTCTGTTGAGTTTGAATCTCACCTACAACCTAGGCTACTTGCAGTGCATTTGCAGAAGAAAACTAGCTTAAACGTCTAAGCTCCTTGACAGAGACTAGGATCATTCACACATCAAACATCACAAAGTAGGCTGTGTTGTAGACAACACAAAGAAGCCCACATGATACTTCGTCAGAGAGCCAATTCATAACAGAACAGTGTCAAAAAAGCAACCTCTACAGGTGACTTATATCAGTGAATGAGTCAAGCCATATGCAACAGAAGTAGAAAGGAAAAAGCCAGGAGAAACCAAGGAAAGTTTCCTTCCTGACCCCTAGCAAAACTCCAACACCTAAGTTTTGTTAGGTTACTTAAGGTTCCATTCAGCACCTTGTCTCTGCTGCAAGAAGACACACACATACAGGAGTAGTTGAGACTTCCTGATCCTATTTAGATACTGACTTAAACCATACCAGCCTAAATAAAAAGCTTAAGACATGCCAGTCTGGAAAGGAAGCCTAGCTTCCCTGCACTCCCTCTTGGCACCTGCACTTCAGGGATCTGTGATGCTATTCTAACTCGTATATCTATTTCCTCCTCTTTTTCTTCTGTGTAAGAACTCTGTGAACAAAATTCACGTGCCAGAAACTACAAGATTTATATCTTAGCTAGACCATGAACTGACTGGGTAGATGTTGCAATAGTGTTTCAACCAGCAATGCCACCCATTCAGGTCACAACAGACTCACCACAACCTAAGTTCTGATTGTTTTGAGTTCTAGAAAATGATTACATATTGACATATTATCTTTCTTCTTTTTAAAAAAGCTAGTAAATTAATTACATTTTTATAAAACACATTATGTTCTTTAGTAAAGTTTTTTTTTCAGAACTTGGGTTTCTATGGCACACAATTTTTACATTGTTTGAATCAATATTATCTGTCCTGCTCACAAGATAGTGAAGTCAGAAGGGATCCCTCTCTCTCCCTCTCACAAACACAGAGCTTACAAACAAAACTAAATATATTAAGCAGAGCTTAAAGAAAAAACTAAATATATTTCCATAACCTTGAAGAGAATGTATTGTCAAAAATCAGAAACATACTCACAATGACATCAAACTTGGAATAAATATCCACAACCCGACCTGAAAGGCAATCAGAAACAGGAGAAGACTGTAAGGCAGCAACAACCACCTAAATAGTTCCTCATCCCAAAATCAGGTAAGCTTCATAGATTCCTCATTTCAATAGTATAACTAGCAGAGTATCATTTTATTGCTGCTATTATTTTTTTAAAAGGAGGGTGGGCAGAAATTCTTGCTGATCTGCTGCAAATCCCCTGGAAGTCTACCAGTAAATCCAAATCTATTTTCTGTTCATCCTCTGGTCTATTCTGTGTGTGATAAACCAGTAATGCTTGACACCTAACTGGATTAGAAGAGTTCCTGCATTTGTCTACAACAGGGATGGGCACTTTCCCCATTTTCTTCCACTGCCACTGCACAGCCCCCTTTAGCCCACACCCGTCGGTTTTTTTTTTTTGGGTTTTTTTTAAATGTCCATTTCCCATTTTATAAAAATGCTATTTCAGACTTAAATAAGATGCTGTAGGAGTGGGTAGCATTTAAATGGAGACATCCATCCCAGGAGGTTTCTCCATTTGGGCCAAATTTTTGTTGGTGGTGGTGACCACGGGGGAGCCTAGAGACTGAACAAAAAAGCCACATGAGTTGGCCATGGCCCTAGCCCCCACATGTTCCATCTTTGCCTTTTAACTCCACAACACTCACCTGACTCATCCACCACAGGCAATGCAGAGACTCGGTGTTGTACAAAAATGCCCAGTGCAACATAGATAGGGGTGTCAGTGTGGACCATGGCAATGTTTTCATAGGTGCCGATTTTCAGCTCTTCCAGAGTTCTGGACATAAATTCTGGCTTAGGAAATTCTGCAATCTGCAGTGAAACAAAAGGTGATTTCTTAGCACAATTTAGGAGTCTGTGGGCAAAAGGAATGCAGTGGCATCTCACAGATTCATCACAGCCATCAGGGATGGCTGGGGTGAGGTGGGGACACTCACAAAGAGCTTGAGGAACTTCAAGATGCGTTTGTGCGTCAGAATGTACAGCGTGTTCCCTGAATCCGGATCAATGACTGGAAGCCGATGGATCTTGTTCCGGATCAAAGATGTGACAGCGTCATACAGACTGGAAATCACAAGAAGGGAAGAAGAATGCATCACAAGTACACAGCAACAAGGGCAATTGAGCAACAGGTTTCTCTCTTAACTCCATAAGGGATGTGTCTAAACCAGAGAAAAGGTGTGTCTGGGTTTCCTGGATCCATCTCTTAGGCTGGGTGAGGTTGGCTCCAGTGGCAATGGGCAAAGATTTCTGGATGCAGCTCTGTTTTAATATATCGCTTCTCCTGTTCCAAAGATTCAGTACAGAACGATCAGCTGCATATTTGAAGATGGGAAGAGGGAAGATTGCTATATTATCAACTCAGAACAGTTCAACCCTCAAGCTGACTGATTGAGAAGGGCAGGACAGTATTTTGACATCAGCTGGTACTAAACACATAATGAATGGAACACCTCCCCCCTTATGTGCCCATCTGTGTCCTAATATCATCTACACAAGCACTCCTCTGTGCATTTCCTGTTCTGAAGTTTGCAGAATGGCTACAAATGAGGGGCTTTCCTAGTGGTGGAACCCCCACCCCTATAGATATTTAATACTCTCCTCAGAGAAATTCTCTCTGTGCCAAAAGTGTTCTTTTCAGGTATAGATGAAATAGGGTTTTTAAAATTCTCTCCTCTGCACTTTTAACCTACTCCTTAAATCCCTATGACACTTTGATGATGTATCCCTTGTACCAAGTGGTTTTATGTCTTTCCTTGCATTGCCTTCAGTTATATTGTTTTATAATTGTTTTTTTTAATTTTGCAAGGCTTGCTTTTTATTCCTGCCAATTTTATATCCACGTTTCTTGATTTCTGCCTCATTTTACTGCACAACTATTCTGATTTAAATTATTCTGTGATGCCTAGGGAATCTGACAGGCTAAAGAAAGAAAGAGATGAAGGGAGGAAGGGAGGGAGGACAGACAGATACATGCGTGCAAGATGGGGTCATGCTCTCAAGGACACATTCAGCATCCTCCAAGTATCCTCTAGCTTTTAGGCAAGTGGTCCCAGAAATATGTGTATGTATATGTGTGTCTGTGTGTTGCCCTTTAAATTCATCACTTTCCAATTTGCCAGAGTCTATAATAAACTAGTTCAGTAAGGGCTTTGCAATTAGGGAGCACGTGGACTGAAACACAGCTGTGTCTTTATCTACAAAATCCAAAAGTGGAGCACTGCACTAAAATGTGGATCCTCTTTCTTACATAAGAAAAGTATATTTCTTTTTCTTTGTTATTTAAGACGAAGCTAATCATATCACAAGTGAAATCTGATATGGCCATCAAGAGTCAGATAAAATAGCTTCAGACCTTAAACATAGGCCACGTCTGCACAAGGGGAGTGCAGACATTTCTACAATGTGGATGCAGCCTAAAAGAGCTAGAAAATTGGCTTATGGAAAGAAAGCCAATCTTCTCAGAAATTGATATTCTATAGTTCATTTAGATGCATATAAAATACAATGCCTTGATCAGATGGTCAACCATACTTGCATGCCAAACAACTGCCATCATGCTCTTTTGTGAGCTTTTGCAACACTGGATTTCTAACCAGAGCAGGTCAGAGAGATCAGGGTTAAGAAAAAGAGGTCAGGATGGGCCAGTGAAAGGGAGCAAGAAGGTACAAAAAACTCACAGAATTAGTGT